AAAACAACAAAATAAATGGGTCTAAATGCCTTCTCGGGTCTTCCAAAAGTTATACCAAGGCAATATGATGGTCGAGTTCTGCTTGCAATGTCCAGTTTTGACCACTGAAATCTCGGGGAAGCCCCGCGTAAATTTAGCGCAGATCTATTTATATATGTCACGTGGTTGTTTTGAAAGTGAGGCAGTGAAGATAACAACAATTGCACACCGTCATGTGCCATGTCGGACTCAACTAGCGGACAAGACAGCAATACTATACATAAATAATTGTTTTCAAAGGTCATGTATGATGCAAGTGTAGTATTCCTACCTATGTGTTGTTATATTTAACGGTATTGATACCTCATGCCTGTCATGACTTTTGCATGCATCTTTTTCTTTCACCGCGATGTTTACAGTTGGCCTTGTTGATGACGCGCGTGCGGTAAAATTACATCACTGATCTGGGTCAATTGAGAGTTTTAGACTGTCACGTGACGATTTAGGATTCCTTAATATAATTAAAAAAATTACTCTTAGGGAGTGATTTTCGGCAAAATTTGAATCGGTATATTTCATAAGAAGGTATTTTAAACATGTGTATGCCATTTTAGCAAATATGACATTTTTCCCGGACCAGCCCCTTTAATACCCTTGTGGACCTGAGTTATTGTTTTACACCTGTATTAAAGTTCTTTCTGCACTGTCTAACACTGTACTTTGGGGAATACTGTCAGTACTGCAATTTACCAGCAATATAATAAGTCCTTTTCATGGAGTCAAACCAACTAACTTTTATTTAGTCCAAAAATGGTTCCTTTTCATCCCCTCATAGTCTCCCTAAAGGCACCAACAACCTCACTTCTTCCAAAATAATAATAAAAAAAAATTGAAAGATGGGTCCCTGGTGATTTCTGTGTTTTAAAACATTATGTATCTAGAGTATATATAAAAGATTCTAAAAAATTGGCGTTATTGGAGAGATATCAGTTTAAGAAGACGATACATGAATCTTTCAGAAGACGTATAGGTATATACATTTGTATATGCTCATTTCTGAGTCTGATGGATTTTAAGGTCTTTTCTATCATCCTTTTTCACTGACACTTATCTCCCTTTAAGCCCTATGGTTAGCCCTTGTTGACTCACTTTCCTTAAAGGGCAAATTTTATAAAGTGTATACACTTTTGGTACATTTATAAATGTACATACAAAAGATAACCTGAGTTTTAAATATTCTAACCTGTTTTTACTGTAGATTTAATTTCCCACATTTAATGCACCCAGACAGCCAACTAATGACCCATGTACCTCTTTGTCCCTTCCATATACCATATGTTGGCCTGTAAACACAGACTATTGTCACACATAGGAAAAGATAATAAGTTGTCAAAATGTGACAAGTGTCCCAGCTGATAAATGGTACCCAAGAGAGAGAGGGGGTCTGGGTGTGAAATGAGGACGCTGATGACAGAAGGTTAACACACGTTGTTTAGGTGGCTTTGATAAAGTTTAATCGACCAAGCTGGGGATGTTATTCAACTAGCTACATCAACAAATCCCAGCTTAATGGTGATGACAACCCACCATTAACATCTCCCTTTGATCCAGAAATTTAAAACTTTTGTACTTAAAAATTGTCACTTGTTTATTCTGATACTCACAAACATTTTTATCTTCAGGCTTTGTGAAGAAACACTTGAGTTAATAAGTAGCCTGTAAATAATAAACAACAACAAAAGTCTTGATATCCTGTTTCTTTGATTACAATGCACCATCAATACCTTTTACATATCCTGGTACAGGGCTTAATATAAAGGTTGTTGAAACCTGTACCCAATGTTATCATAAAGAAATAAAATATGTTAAAAACTCTTCAATCTCTTTATCTATGAAATTGTTAACTTATTTGGCGTCCTGCTTTTCCAATCTGTGGCCTAATTTTGCTCTAATTAGACAATTTCCTATTTAAACATTGAATATAAAAGTCTCTTTTCCCTATGTCCGGACCCAATCTTTGTCCATGTCATATTTTAACTTCTGTACACTTGTCACAGCAGTATTCCAATAACTGAACATTAGACTATTCTTTACTTAAAACACTATAACTTTGTATTTATCTCTGCTGGGTACATTTGGACCTGAAATATTTGACACCTCAAACCAAATCTTTGTCCTCTAAGTGTAATCATATACCTTGTATACTCTTCACTGGTCATATGATGCTGTTCTGCCCAGGTTCAATATTTGTTACCTAGTTTAACACCCAGAAATTTAATGGTGTAATATTGTATGAGCTGGACTTTGATGATTTATGTAATAATATATACAAATGTTGGGGAGGGGGAAGGGAGGGGTTCCTATTTCTAACACCAGATATTTAAGCCTTGTCTCTTTAAAGGATAGTTTCATTGTTTCCTACCATGAAACAGTTAATACTGACAGCATGTCTTTCCCTCTGATCCTTAGGCTCAGGAGAGTTACAGATTTTAATGTGTCGCCTTTCCCACCCCCATTTAATCTAAAAGTTTTAAACCTTTCTGATAATAAACATCCAACTTTTGTTCTGTGATCTGTGTAAATTGTAAGTATTGGTGAGGATGGCCTGTGGGCAGTAACTTAAAGGTGTTAAAGCTTAGCACTAGGATGTGTGACTGGACAGTCCTTATCTCAGCTAGACACAACACTCTGCCTTTCATATTACACAACTCTTACATACCTAATAACATACACATCAGCAATGGCCGACCTTCAGGGGGTGTCTCCTGGCCTTGTGGTTTGTGTAAGAGGTGTAAGTCATGTCTCATTACCCCTGTATGAAGTAACAGGTTCTTGACTGTAAGGCAGTTATGTACTCGGGTAATTGGATTTGGTCTGAGGTGGTTTTAAAAGTACCTATTTCGTTGAAATGGTCATTACCAATAATTAGTTGACCAAGACTAATCATATGTCAGGGTGTGATTTAAATGAGCATCATGCCATCTACATTAGGGTGTCAGGCCTAATGTGATATGTCAGTAACATACAGAATATAGTGGTGTCCTTTCACTCAAGGTCACACATATATACATTAATCAAACATACCTACAGGACACTTTCATTTTACTTTCAATATAACTTAAATTAACTTCCAAGGACTTTCAAATGAAATTGAAACATTTTAACTGGAACCTTTATGTTTGCCAGGTTTCTGTTCATTTTTTATTCAGTCTGTAAATTATAGACATGATTTATACAAATTTTATTATGGGTTAATAGAAATGGAATAAAAAAAAATGTGAATATGCTCTTGATTCATTAAAAATCAGTTGACAAAATGCTAAGCTTGATTTGCCAATGGAAACTCAATAGTTCTAATTTATTCAAGATAAAATCAAACTTTCCCTCTGTTATATATAGCTGTTGAAAAGTGAATATTGCCTTGGCTTGGAACAACTAGCATTAGAACATGACTGTGGGGGAATGTCGTTAGTGAGCTTTGGTGTATGTCAGACAGTGAGGAATGACCTGACTACAGGTTTCCTACAGATAATGCTAAGTAATAACAGTCCATGTCACAGGGCGTTCCCACATTGTCAACTTATATACGTTTGTTTCCAGATGAATAGTCATAAAGTCAGTTGGCAGCTTTGTTGTAGACTATAATGGCGCTATGAATTGGAAAAAAATAAAGACAGTTCTTTTTAAAACTTGAAAGGAAGTCATTAAAAATGATAACCTGTAATACATTATTCAGTCTCAAGAAAATAGAACTGCAATGACTGAGAATTTATTTTAATAAGAACAGATTTGGAAAAGGGTTTCATACCTATTGTGTGTATGCTACCTTACCAAACAATTTTAACTCAGCATTACCTGAGTGTAATTGATTATTCAAGTCCAAATTACTATTCCTTGAAGTTAATGGTTGTGAAGGTCTTTTATAAACATCATGTGGTAGTTTCTGTGTCAAGATAAGATAGCATTCATCCTTAAGTCTCTGTCACAGTAAGGTAGCATACATCCTTTAGTATCCGTGTTACAGTCAATGGTAGCATACATCCTTTAGTATCTATGTCACAGTCAAAGGTAGCATACATCCTTAAGTCACCATGTCACAACAAGAGCCTGGCACACCTCCATAGTGATGGATAGGTAGATGAAGTGTTTGATATATGTGATTGCTTACTCATAACCGTTGAAAGAAACGTTCATCATTGCAGACCTGGTCAAACTTAGTGCACTAGCTGTAATGACAGCGCATCTGATCTGTCAACTTTTGTCACATGATGTAATTATCTACACCCTACAGGAAATGTTATTTCAGCAAAACATTTAACTAGTTGTTTGTATTCATATTAAAGCTAGCTAAAATCATGCCAACATTTTTTGTCACATAAAATTATTGCTCTTGCATCTTTAAGATTATGCGTGTCTTCATTGCAATGACTTAATGTGACAGATTTTTGAAGGATCAAACTTTAATTGCAAGAATGTGACAGAATTTTGAAGATTCTGATCCAATGATGAACTTACCATCTTGGTCAAGCGTGAAAAAAAACAGAAAACAAAATAGAGGAAATAGTTTCCCTGTCTTATTTCAGTATTTACTGGTATGTTGAAGTTAAAATATTTCAGATTTTTAGGTAAACTGGTTAGAAGGGCTAGATAAGGATTTGCCATATAGCATGGCAACCATTGTTGATCTGATATTAACTTTACTGCTACAAATAAACTACTTGTCCAGAACAGCTAAAGGAGTTTTGACTAAATTTAGTGTAGTGCATACCTTGGTCAGGAGCATTCATTGATGTTGATATACTTGTAACATTAAATCATTGCTCTTATTTCTTCCATTACACTTATCCCATGAAAGGATGTGGCCCCTTGAGGACAGAGGAGCAGAAACCAATAGAGGAAACAGTTATGTCTGTAAAAAGTCTACTTCTGAAGTATGGTTTGACATTTTTGTAATGCAGTCGTTCATTATTGTGTTGATTTTGATTTTATTATTAGTGTCCCATTAAATCTGTATATTTTAGGGTGTACCAGCAGTTCGAGGAGCTTGGCCTGTTTCTGTTCAACGATGCCCTGGTGATCACACGACGCACATCCAGACATTTTCCGTTCACACGTGCTGTTGAGCACACATACAGGTTTGAGACCAGTTTGTCCCTGGCACGTCTCAAAGTCATTGGCCTTGACAACACCAAATGTAAGTAACTAGAGGTCATCTTCATTAAACATTGTCTTTCCGAAATCATAGTCTTTATAGTAGTAAAACACAAGCGTTCATGGTTTATGGTTTTCAAGCAGCCCATTGACTTATCTGTCATGATGTGCTATTATTGGCGTGACGTCAATGAATTGCTGAAGTGGAAAATTATTTATAAGTGATTTCCCACTAGGGCTGTCTGTCAGGACTGCTTGGTTTTGCTGAAGTGGTCTAGAAAAATAAGATGTTCCCCACTAGGGCTGTCTGTCAGTTCTGCTTGGTTTTGCTGAAGTGGACTAGAAAAATAAGAGATTTCCCACAAGGGGAGTCTGTCAGTTCTGCTTGGTTTTGCTGAAGTGGGCTAGAAAAATAAGAGATTTCCCGCAAGGGGTGTCTGTCAGTTCTGCTTGGTTTTGCTGAAGTGGACTAGTAAAATAAGAGATTTCCCACTAGGGCTGTCTGTCAGGACTGCTTGGTTTTGCTGAAGTGGTCTAGAAAAATAAGAGGTTTCCCACTAGGGCTGTCTGTCAGGACTGGTTTTTCTGAAGTGGTCTAAAAAATAAGTGATTTCCCACTAGGGCTGGTTGTCAGGTCTGGTTTTGCTGAAGTGGACTAGAAAAATTAGTGATGTATTAGGTAGTCTCTGTAAATTGGTCAGCCTTTTTTACTGTATAGAGTCAAGCTGAACAGCTGAATTTTACATTTTATTAAAGTATTTGTGAGAGAAAAGGGCCATTCCTTACATAATACAACCAATAGATTTTCTATATCATGCTATATAACCCAATAAACTTTCTAATTACCAGGTAATGGGAAATTTTATGCTGAAATAGACTCATTACTCACTGAATCATATAGTGCTTTTGAAGGAAAAATCAATGTCTTTTATGGCTCTTATATGGTTGAAATGGCATTTTAAATAAAAATATAGAAAAAAATTAACATAATCCTTGATGGAAGAAGTGATTGGCAAATGAATTGATTGGAAATCTGAAAATACCAAAATACCCAGACATTTTTAACACCTCATAGCACTTAACGCTGCTAGGATTTCTGATTATAAATCCTATGTGTAATAATTGCCAGATTACAGCTTTATTGACCATTCAGTAAGAAAGGTTTGGGCTGAGAGCATTTATTGGAAATTCAAGGAGGTGATTATCGAGTTAATATAACCAGAACTTGTACATTCAGAAAGGGAAGGCACTAGTGGTGAGAATGCTTGTTGTGTCTGAAATAGACTTGTGTATGTCAATTTATCAGGAATGAAATTTTCTTGGAGGAAATGTAGGATTTACAAGTCCTGTTAAAAACAGGTAGTGTTTTACCTCAGCATTGTCATGTTGAGGGAATTTTAAATTGCATTGCAGTACTTCCAGGCCCGAAATTAATTGATGGATTTGGTACATTGTACAAGAACCTTACTGTATATGATCTAGGTCTACAAGATGTTTTTATCTTGTCCGAGATCTAGATATAACATCATGCATACAGTCCTGTCCTACACAAGGTGTACAGTCAAACTTTGGCTAAGATTATAATGACCTGGTCTGCCTGTCATATCCAAGATCTAAGTGGATGTATGAACTCTTGTATGCAAGATCTGTAGCCAGATTTCATTGAATAAATTAGTTAACTGCCCAGTAGAAATCAGCATAAGTGAAGACAAGGAAACACCCATGTTTTTTTTGCATATTGTTCAAAGTAGCAACTTTGACGGCCTGTAAAAAATAAGTGTTTATTTGAAAAAATTAAGCATACTGCGCATGCTTTACCAGGATTTTTTTCCTGCAGTTTAACTTTTGCCATTTTGCCTTCTGTATTGTGGGCAAATTTACCATTACAGTGAACTTTAGTTGATGAATAATGAATATATAGTTATCAAATGTGAAATGCGTAATTAAAACGAGGCAAATAGATATTTTACGGACATGAGGTGAAAATTTGACTGGGCGAAAGTTTTCTTATATACAGTATACTGCTTACAGTCTATTTACATTGTGAAATATTTACATAAGCTGCCATGTTTAGCCACACAATATCTCCATGGAGTTCTTGCAAATCCAGCAAACCCGATGTACACAGGTTACCATAAAATGTACTCCAATTAAGGAATACATCTGCCTATACCTTTATTAGCTGATGATCAGTGCAAATTGAGCAGGCCCTTGGTGCAAAGACAGGCTGTATTGTCCAAGATCCAGGTGGAAATTCAGAGGTTGTCATGTCCAAAATCTAGGTGTACAATGAGACAATAAATGTCCAGGATCTAGGTGTTTGGTTTAACAATGCCAACTGTCACAGCTTTATACAGAGGTTACTATGATATATAGATGTAACTGGGAGATTTCAGCCAGTCACATGTGACAGTGTAAAATTTCTTGGATGAGTTGATTCTAGAAATAGAAGAAAACACACTCTCTTATCCAAAACCCATACTTTCCAACTTTTTAAAGTTTCCATGGGGGAGATTGCACATTCTCAGAATAAAAAGCATTTTTTTCGTCCAAAATCGGGAGTCTCTCCTATAAACAGGGAGAGTTGGCAAGTATGAAGACTTGGGTGAAATAGTTCTAAATTTGAGTGTTAATTAGGTCGTTCTGTGAAAAGATTCTTGTAGCACAATATAATGTGTATATTTGGTTATAGATGTGCGAGAGTCTATGAGCCCCCTCATCTCGATTCAGAACTGGCCCACTGCGGCGTTTCCAGATGGCTTTCTTTATCTGCTGCTTGAACAGATTGCTCTCTCTGTCCAATGCAGTTATCCCAGTCAATTACATGATATTTCATGGGCTGTGTCCACATCTATGACTATATAGTATTAAACAAAGCGTAAGGATCATTTCAGTACATAAATAACAACTACTTGTACATATTTTACACCTTTGTGTACATACGCTTCACTGGTCATTTGTCTGATGAAGGTGACATAGTACATATCGTACAAGTCATCAAAATGTCACATTTAAACACCTTTTGGTTGTGCTACAAGAATCTTTTCACAATCCATACTTATAATTACCAACCTGTAGAAAATGTTAAAAAATATAGGAGTGTTAGGTCACTTTAAACTTAAAGCTGTTTAGAGATGAGCTGTCTGTTACAGTCCCTGTAAAGCTAGTGTCTAGTTTATAACTATTGAGGTCTGTTTATTTAGAATGTAACAATATTGGTGTAATATGAAACACATTACTCTGCAGGAATTGATCCATTTGACATTGTAATTGCCTGATGCACATACTGTGTGTGTTTGTTACTGGTACAGAACACTTCATTAAGTTATAAAGAGTTGGGGATAAATATGGTCATCAAATTGATTTCAAAACATAGCAAAATTATTGTTTATGGTGTCAGAAATCACAAAAAATTATGCACATTTATTCTGTTATTCTTTTGAAAATTCTTTTTTTTTTGTAAAAATTGGTGGCTCATAAGCTATCATCAATGCTGAGGGGAGTAAACATGATTGTACAATAGGTACTATGTGTATATTGTTTTATTATAAAATGTCAATTTTTATTCGTTTACAGATAATTTTTACATAAATTTCCATTTAAAATCCTTAAAATTCTGACAACCTATATTTTTTTGTGGCAGAAAATTTTCTTTACATCAAAGCATAAATATTCTACAATGAGAAGGATCAATCTCCCGAATTCCTTTTATTCTTGGTCAATTCTATCCCAATCAAATTCCTTGCTCAGTTTGGTTGCAATTGACAGCTGATGTAACTGGTCAGTTAGCCAGTATTCAGGGCTGTAATTAGCTTTTATGTAAATGTGCTCAGAAACAGGTTGCCAAGCTCAAAATCAGTAGACTTGGAGCTAGTTCAATGTTTGTTTTTCTTCATTTTTTTCTGAAGTATGTATGTATAATTGGGACAGTTAAGTTACAACACCTATTAGGAGCCCCACCCCATCAGTAAGTTCTATCCCACTGGGCAGTCACTTTAATTGATATGACTGACCTGTGAAGACCAGCTGTTCTAAAAGTAGGTGAGGAAAACAAGATAGAAGTCAACAAACCAGTCCCTTTATTGGTCAGCCTATGTGAGTTTCCTTGAGTCATAAGGTCACCCTGACCAGTGTACTGACCCATTTACAAACAACATAATATACCAGCTCTGTCCACCAGTAAACTGTAGGGTCAAGCCAGTGTACTACAGGAACTCATTCTGAAAGGTTCTAACAGTGCTATATTTGTCAGATATTTCAAATAAGTACCAATGTTTATCTCAAAGAATTTTCATGCAGATATTTTTGAAATGTAATTTGACTGCACTACTAGTCAGTTATTATTTTCACCATATTATAGGATGTTATAAAAGTATCTATGTTATTCAAATTTTCTGGTACATTTGTATTTCACTTTCAGCTTTAGGTTTGTTTTCATGGGAAAGTCTAAGACAGATGTGTTGAAAGGATCCACATGTTCTCAAAGGATATTTAATAGATTGGTATCACATAGTATGATACATGACACCTGCTACAACATGTATAGGGGTGTAAATCTATCCCTTGTTTTAGCAATAGAGGAAGCACAATGATAGTCTCGTTCATCCTTACTGAATTGACCACAAACTATTGGAGTATATCAATATACTCAGTATCTCAGTATATTGATACTCGGTATAGTGTAAAAGTTGTTGTAAAATTCTGCTTCACTGAAGTATATTCTTTTTATTAAATATTAAATATACCAAATCAGTACCAGTCTTTTCCAAAAGATAAATTTGCTAAAATTGAACAAGAGATCATATATTTTCCACTTTCATGCCGTGATGATGCAAATTTCAGATTAAAAGTTGTTAAAAACAGAAATAAAATAGGTTGAAAATAAACACTTATCTTCTGTCTTATAGACTGTAGTCTAACATGATAGATTTACACTAATAAGCAGGTTGTGTGTGGAATGAGTGTCCAGTTGGTGTTGTCCAGCTGTTATCAAATTCCAATCTGTGGGTATAACCACTGTTATAAATGTCCAATCTACAGATA